CCGTTGCAGCGGCACTTCCGGGTGTTGACTGTAATTCGCTGTGTCTACTTGGACCAACGTGGACTTTTCCTCCGTGCGGCCGCGGGAGTCGTCGGGCAGCGCCGGCCGCTCGGCCTCTCGGCGGTCGCAGGGCCCCAGCCTTAATCATCACGTTGTAACCGCGGAGCCGCTCAAGCGGCAGATCCTCGTGCAGTTGTGTGGGTCTTGGGCCTAAAGTGGTGTCGGTGGAGACCCACTCGAGGTCCCAACACGGTTCTGCCCTACAGCACGGTTAAAACACACATTGTGCGTATGTGAAACTTACGTTCATTCGGACAGGCACTGGTCCTTTAATGTTAAAATGTTACCCTGTGTGGCTCTAGGATTTAAAAAAAAAAGGTTCTAGAATGTTACCCCAAAAAAACTCCCTTATTATTAATAGACTATTCTGTAAAAAGTGCTGCACAAAAAAAATTGCTCTTTAGATTTTACCTTGAGATCTATGTAAAAATGTGCGTGTCGTCTCTTACAACTTTGAACTGTTTCACATACCTTTCCTGAGTAAGTAGTTCGGTGTTAAGTTCTTCAAGATAGAAGTGTTGTCAAATACATACACGTAAAGTGATGCACACATATATAATGTATTCCATAAGAAAATAAATGAGTATTTACCTCTATTTTATACTGTATACCTAGTATGCATCAAATTTAATATATACAATATGTAGTACAGTAGAGTATAAACTATATATTATATTAACATTGTACCACTTTCAACAAAGAGCTTGACTTTTTAAGTTTCTTTCTTTTATTATTTATTTATTTATTTATTAGTCATTTCCTTTGCTGCTTTTTCGTAATGCTCAATAATTAGAACCCCGGTTCATTGAAGGACTTCAACAAGTATGCATTAAGTGCTGCTCCGTGTACTTAGAGAGAGACGGAGAGCAGAGAGAAAGAGAGAGAGACAGAATCCCAAGCAGCCTCCCCCCTGCAAGTGCGGAGTCCAGCTCGGGGCTTGATCTCATGAACCCTGAGATCATAACCTGAGCTGAAAGCAAGAGCCAGAGGCTTAACCGACTGAGCCACCAGGCGCCCCAAGCAGTAACCTTTCTTATTAAGTTAGGCCGATTGATGTAAAAGAATATTGTAAGCTACAGAGTGCTATTTGTATACTCTTTTGAAATCTGCTGGTAAAACCAGGGACTCCTTTTCCCCATATTGTGTATTACCAGATACATTTACTTCAGGATATTATATATCTTTGTAAGTTTTGTGCTGTAAGACATTTTGAGTTTATTTTTGAAATGTTTCAGATTAGTATAAACTAACCGATTTTCTTCCTCTCATATTAAGATGTAATAATTTATAGTTTATCATTTTGTTCACCCAGGGTGTTTGGTAAATATATATCTGGTGCTGGAAGAGGATTTGATGCTCTATCAAAAATACCTAGTTTTGAGTCATATTGCTCTTTGCATTGGTTAACTTTTCATTTTCTACAAACACACACAGAATTGTTTGTTTTGACCTAGAAGAATAAAGATACTGCTCATATAAAACTAACTAGAATGTGGGGCACCTGGATGGCTCAGTCGGTTAAAGGACCAACTTCAGCTCAGGCCATGATCTCATGGTGTGTGAGTTCGAGCCCTCTGTGCCGATGGCTCAGGTTTCAGGTTCTGTGTCTCCCTCTCTCCCTGCCCCTCCCCCGCTTGTGCTCTGTCTCAAAAATGAATAAACATTAAAAACAAAAAAAAGAAACCTAAGTAGAATATATTTCGGATGGTCTGGAAGTACATTAAGCCTGTAGAAGATTCTTTAATTACCTATGGTTTCCCTTTGTGTTCCCTCTAAACCTCTGCTCTGCCCTCCAGTTTGACTCAGGACAGTCAATGGTAGAGATGAATATATCTGACTGTCCTTAATGGCAATTCAAATCCAGATATAAATGATGGACTCTTTACAGTAAGTGCCTCTTTTCACCTCTATTAGTATGAAATTTGAAAAGTAACTCGAGACTATAGTAGAGAATGCAGGCTCAAATTAAACAGTGCTGGGAGAAAGTAGAAATCTCTTATCTATGTTCAACTTTCTGACTGTCCCAGTTTGTCTTTTATAGTTCAATTTAAAAGGCAAAAATGAAAAAAAAAAGGCAAAAATTCATCATGGATCGGTTAGGAAGCTTTCACTTCAAGGTACAGAAACCCCAAATACATGATGTAATAATAGGGGCTCATTACACCAAATAATGAGAAACTTAGAGGCAGTTGTCTCATTGATACAATCAAGGAACAAACCTATTTCTGTGGTCCTCAGCCTGTTGACTTGTCCCTTCATGTCACCTGATGGCAGCCAGGCATTGCTTCACACAACCTTGTCCAAAGGCAGGAAGGCCTTGCTCAGAATGAATGCATACAAGGAATCCTTAAAGGCTGAGTCAATCTATTAAAATAACAGCATCTTCTTAATTTTACTGTTGCCAACTCCCCCACTTGTTCTTTGCTGGTGAATATAAAAGATTCATGTTGTTTTAGGCATGTGGTCTTCCTCTTGAAGGCTGGCACTTGTGTTGCAAAGGACTAACTATCTAAAGGTACAGACTACACCTTGTGATTTAAAAATGAAGAATTAGGGGCGCCTGGGTGGCGCAGTCGGTTAAGCGTCCGACTTCAGCCAGGTCACGATCTCGCGGTCCGTGAGTTCGAGCCCCGCGTCAGGCTCTGGGCTGATGGCTCAGAGCCTGGAGCCTGTTTCTGATTCTGTGTCTCCCTCTCTCTCTGCCCCTCCCCCGTTCATGCTCTGTCTCTCTCTGTCCCAAAAATAAATAAACGTTGAAAAAAAAAATAAAATAAAAATGAAGAATTAAGTGTTGTATGAAAGGAGAGAAGGTTAGCACTCCCCTTGACAAGGATGGAAGAGGCCCTCGGGCCTGACATGCATACGGTTAAGGCATTGCCACCTACTTCGTGGCATCTAATCAGCATTTTTTACTAAGTTTAATGTGGACAAATTTGAAGACATGGTGGCTGAAAAGTTGCTCATCCCAGATGGCTGTGGGGTCAAATACATCCCTAATCGTGGCCCCTTGGACAAATGGCAGGCTCTGCATTCATGAGAACCTCAGCACTGCCCTTTCCCATTCATGCCCACCAATAAATCCTGCTTCCTGTCTATAAATAAATAAATAAATAAATAAATAAATAAAATGAAGAATTAAGAGCAAATAGGTGGCCGGGTTGTCTAGAATGTTCTAATTTATGAGCCGAGGGGATTTCACAGAGGGGCAGGTGAAAAATGCAGAAAGTTTACATAAGCTTTCTTTAAGGCAAAGTCAAACTGAGGGGGAAGGGAGAAAGAATCTGGGTAACACTCGAGTTAGGGGGAATCAGTAAAGGGAGCTGGGTTTATGCGTATGCTATTTATGTGTTCTCTCCTCCTTCCTTTAGGTGGTATTGGCAAGAGAAAAAGATACCGATGTATGTGAAGTTTATGGAAGATAACTACCGTCCTGATTTCAAATATGAGGATTTTGGACCACTATTTACAGCACGGTTTTTTAATGCGAGCTACTGGGCAGATGTTTTTCAGGCTTCTGGTGCCAAATACACTGTCTTAACTTCCAAACATCATGAAGGTAAAGAAGTGTAACATTTACAAACACTGGTGATAGTTATGAAATGTAGAGTAAGTAGTTCTTTTGGAAGAAGAAACTAAAACACATCAAATCAGTTTTAGGAGCAGTAGTCAAGTGGCTACTGACATTTGCCTGTAATTTAAGGGACCATATATTTCATCCAATTGAGAGGCATTGGGTTTATAGAAAGATCATACACACACACACACATACACACACATAAAAACAACACAGAGAAAGGAAAATGATCGTATTTTGTTATGTGCATATTTAAAAGTATTTCCAAGATTTCTTTTGAAGCTATTTGAAGTGAGATGTGCATTGCACACAAAGTTTTTGATTAAATTTGCCTTCTTCCCTTTCACCGCACCTCTGTAATGCATTCTGGGAAGGCTCCACCACCATGGGGATTGTACTGCTGTAGTCTTGTGTCATTACCAACACCTTGCTGCACTTTTGGCCAACTCTTAGATAGCCAAATGGTGGGCAATTTGTTGGTGACGAAAGCAACACAGGTCACCTGGAGGGAAAAGGATTATGGAACTGTAATGGTGCCCATAAATGACAGAGATGGTGGAAGAACATCTGAAAGGAAACACGGTGTATGAGTCAAGGTTCTTCAGAGAAACAGAACCAATTGGAAGTCTGATATATAAAAAGAGATTTGTTAGAAGAAACTGGCTCCTCCAGTTACGGAGGCTGAGAAGTCTGGACCCAGGAGAGCCGGTGGTATAGTTGTAGTCTGAGTCCAAAGGCAGGAGAAGGTGTGAGCTCAGACAGGCTGAGAGGGAATTCTTACCTAGCCTCTTATTCTGTTTAGGTCTTTAAGGGATTGGCTGAGGCCCATCCACACTGGGGAGAGCAATCTGCTTTACTCAGTCTATCTATTTACATTTTTTATTAATATTTTATTTTATTTTGAGAGAGAGAGAGAGAATGCAAGCAGGGCAGGGGCAGAGAGAGAGGGAGACACAGAATCCAAAGCAGGCTCCAGGCTCTGAGCTGTCAGCACAGAACTGGACGCAAGACTTGAACCCATGAACCATGAGATCATGACCTGAGCTGAAGTTGGACACTCAAATGACTGAGCCATGCAGGCGCCCCTATTTTTTTTTTTAATTAATTTTTTAAATCAGTCTACCTATTTAGATGTTAATCTCGGGGTACCTGTGTGGCTCAGTCTGCTAAGTGTACAACTCTTGATTTTGTCTCAGGTCATGACCCTGTGGTCCAGTCAAGTTGAGACATAAAATTATCCATCACAGTGGTCTTACATTAATAGGATACTTTCCACCCATTACCATTCCAGTATCCAAAAGATCAAGGAAGCGTCAACAAATTGTTACTGTCTCAACCACATGTTAATTCATTTGATGATTGCTTTTGCTATGACCATTTTTGCCTCGGCATGAGAAATTATGCCTCAGTATTTTCCACAGGGGTGGGGAGGGAAGTAAGAGGGAAGAACCAAAACCAAAAATCTGTAGTTATCTTAGAATACTTTTCCCTTTGGCCACATTCAAGTGGCTTAATGATTTTCTCCTATAGATGTTTCTCCTATGGAGGTGGGTATTTAGAAAGTGTATTTGCTTGTGAACATGTTGTTGATTTCCTGATGTCTAGGAACCCTCTAAGCCGTATGGCACAAAGAATTACATAGTGTGCATTTTGTTTTAAAACACTTTGTTTTAAAAATAAAACAAAAATAGCGTCTTTTTTAGATCTTTCAAAGCATTTATATAAACATAATTTATAATACTTCTCTTTTTTCCTTTATGTACAGTCACAAAGCTATAGTTATATATCTAGAAACTCCTCTGCTGTGCCTCTACAGTGCAACCTGTAGCAATCAGTTCTCCAGCTTATAGTAGGGTCCCATAATGCCGACAAAAAAAAAAAATGTGTATTGTCATGGATTCACAGATGAACCAGGCTACTGCATAATCGAGTTTTGAAAAACACTGTGTGCCACCCTGGACACCCCTGAGTTGAATGTAGTCAGATATAAACCATGCCAGGCAGTGACACTTGAAAACCACCATAATATCCCATCTGAATACATGGTGGGCTGCCCATCCAATAATTAAACTGGCAACAAAACACTCCGAAATTGGCTCACGAATTACTGTAGCAGGAAGCACGTTAGTTTGCAGTTTGGTCCATCTGATCATTCTGGATTGAAACTGGGAAATTGAGTAAGAGCCAGAGTTTTGCATTGCAACCTGAGTGGACTTTGCAAACTTCCTCGGTCAGCTATGGCTTTGGCCATCAAGTAATCTTCAGCAATGTATTGAGGAAAAGCTATAAGCGCTTCTGCTTGATCTAACGCATCCTTTCTCATTGAACAAGACATTCCTGTCGCACATTTGAAGCCAGTCACATTGGCAGAGACATAGCACCTTGTATGGGAAGTTCCAAAATATACCTGTTCTAATGTGGCAGCAAAGCACTGTCTGTCTGCTACACAGGGCAAAACAAAATACTTTTAATCATACTGTGAGGACAGATACTGAAGCCGACATTTGTAAACTTTCTAGGACTCCCATTTTCAGATGTTTTCATTGCTTTTTGGAAAAAGTCCCACTGAGGTTGCTTAGGCAGGAAGATCTTTATGTGAGTTTAGGTGGTGATGAAGATCCATGTGGTTTCAGTACTGTCTGGTGTTAGAGCCTGTCGATTTGAAACATTTTGAATAGGACTTTAAATATTGCTGCTTTGAAGCTTACCACAAACACCTTTGACAAGAGTGAACAGTTTTAGAAGCTTTTTTTAAATTAATTAATTTATTTTGAGACAGAGCAAGCATGAGTTGGGGAGAGGTAGAGAGAGTGAGAGAGTGAGAGAGAGAGGGAGAGAGGGAATCCAGATGTGAATCCTGATGTGGGGCTCAATCTTACGAATTGTGAGATCATGACCCGAGCTGAAATCAAGAGATGGACTCTTACCCGACTGAGCCACCCCAAGAAGCTTATATTCTATGAGGAAAAATATAGGAGCTAGATGAGATTATGCAGACCTTAAGGGGTACCCAGAATGTTACTTAAAAGAACCTTGGTTCCACCTGGTTTAGATTCTCATTTGTTTCTCATATAAAAGCAGAATATGTGCCATGAAAAAAAGTTCCACAAAGCAGTTGTTGTAGAAGTTTTTGTATGTCACATGCACTATTTTGGTATTTGTATAGGTGGAAATGTCCTAAAGCAGATTCACATTCTTACAAAGACTCTTACTATAATTGTGCAGGCTTTACCTTGTGGGGCTCAAAGCATTCATGGAACTGGAATGCGGTGGATGTGGGGCCCAAAAGGGACCTTGTCAAGGAGCTTGAGGCAGCTATTAGGAACAGGACTGACCTTCGCTTTGGACTGTACTATTCCCTCTTTGAATGGTTTCATCCACTCTTCCTTGAGGATAAGTCCAGGTCATTCCATCAGCAACAATTTCCAGTTTCCAAGACGCTGCCAGAACTCTACGAGCTAGTGAACAAGTATCAGCCGGAGGTCCTGTGGTCGGATGGTGATGGAGATGCCCCTGATGACTACTGGAACAGCACGGTCTTCTTAGCCTGGCTGTATAACCAAAGGTGTATGTGCTATTAGATCGCCATGGTGACCCAAAATGTCCCTCATACATGCGTTCCCTTGCTTTGTGAAATATTCCTTTTTGGGCTTATCTATGGTGTGAGGCAGGGGGAAATCATTGTAAATAATGCTTATTAGATATATCAGGTCTTTTTAATGTTTATTTTTGAGAGAAAGAGAGAGGCAGAGAGAGGGGGACAGAGGATCTGAAGTGGGCTCTGTGCTGACAGCAGAGAGCCCAATGTGGGGCTCAAACTCACAAACCATGAGATCATGACCTGAGCTGAAGTCAGATACTTAACTGACTGAGCTATCCAGGTGCCCCTAGATATATCAATTTTTACTCCAAGTAATCAGTCAGTAATCAAGACTTACAAATCAGGAGCCAAATACAACTCAAATCTGATTTTGAAATCACTAAAAACCACTAAAAATTTGAAATCACTGAAAAAAAAAGATAAAATCACAGAATCAAGAACTTTGAAGATGTTAATTTGTGGGTCCCCCCTTTCCCCTTCTGAGACAACAGTTCATCACTGTTTGTGATTATGTGCTTGTCAATTCCTCTAATTGCTTCTTTTCATCTTCTTTGATATCTTTGCTGCTCAGTCACTGTCACCCTTGTCTGCCTCCTCTTTTCCCGTATCAGCACCACCTGTTGCTTTCTAGCATGTTCCAGACTGCCCCATTAGAACAGGGGCTTCTGGCTGAGCTCCTCTGTTAGGCTTGAACCTTGTGACCAAATTTATATTTGTAACCAGAAAATACTCAGTGTTGTGGTATGAAATCAGGGAGTGTTGTACTTGTGTTCCCTGGACACACAAGGGGTGTGCATACAGATACTCTGGAGAGCTCTTGATACTTAAGGCAGCAGTCTGCCCGGGTATGTCCAAGGGGAAAGACTGGGAACCATCCACTTCAATTTGTAAATCATGATAATATCATTGTGGGGATTATTTCATGCCACAGTGATGGCAAGTTAACTTCCCAGAGATTTTCAACATCAGGCACAATTGTAATAGAAAGGCTATATTCAGTTATAGGTGAGAAGAATGTTTTTTAAAAAAAATTTTTAATGTTTATTTTTGAGAGAGAGAGAGTGCGAGCTGGGGAGGAACAGAGAGAGGGAGATAGTATCTGAAGCAGGCTCCAGGCTCTGAGCTGTCAGCACAGAGCCCGACGCAGGGCTCGTTCCCACGAGCCGTGAGATGGTGACTTGAGCCAAAGTCGGATGCTCAACCAACTGAGCCACCCAGAAGTCCCCCCGCTTTTTTATTTTTTTTGAGTGTAAACTCAATTCTGGCTATCATTCATAATACATGGGAGAAGGAGCTTCAAATAACAGTGTGATACTCTTTTAAGTGCTGTATGTGCTGGGTACTGGGCTAGGACTAGGTGTTTTACATAAATTCTCTCTTAAAAAATTTTTTTTTAACGTTTATTCATTTTTGAGAGACAGAGAGCGTGAGGGGGGGAGGGGTAGAGAGAGAGGGAGACACAGGATCTGAAGCAGGCTCCAGACTCTGAGCTGATGTGGGCCTCAAACCCACAAACTGCCAGACCGTGATCTGAGCCAAAGTCGGATACTTAACTGACTGAGCCACCCCAGCACCCCTACATAAATTATTTCTGATCTAATAACAGATGAGGAGATTATTCAGAGGAGTTAGGTCACTGACTCTGGGGCGGGGAGCTTAGAAAGTGACCGAGCCAGGATTGCAACCAACCCAGGTCTGACTTCAAAACTATGGGCTTTGCATTATGCTAGTATGCTGTGATGATTTTTCAGGAGTGGATTTCAGTTAGACTTCTTTTCAGTGACATTTCCTTTTATGTAAAATGTTTTATTCTTTATTAAAAAAAATTATATTTCAGCCCCGTTCGGGACACAGTCGTCACCAATGACCGCTGGGGACTCGGTACCATCTGTAAGCATGGCGGCTATTATACCTGCAGTGATCGTTACCACCCAGGACATCTTCTGCCTCATAAATGGGAAAATTGCATGACAATAGACAAGTTTTCCTGGGGTTACAGGAGAGACGCCAGACTCAGTGACTATCTTACAATCGAAGAACTAGTGAAGGTACAGTAAAATGTTAGGTGACTATTAAGGTAATATTCTCAATTGTGTGGATGTGTGAGAATTACTTTGTATAATTTGTAGAGCTCAGGGGCCTGTAAACACAGGGCATTATTCTATTTGCTGTGTTTGTTCTTCTGGACAGTGGTTACATATGAGTGTGTAAGCACACAAATACAACATATTATTAACACATTGGCAATGGAATCGTTTCATCTCCCTAAGAACTTTATTCTTAATTTTTTAGGAACTTGTAGAGACAGTTTCATGTGGAGGAAATCTTTTGATGAATATTGGGCCCACATATGATGGCACAATTCCTGTAATTTTTGAGGAGCGACTGAGGCAAATGGGGACCTGGCTAAAAGTCAATGGAGAAGCTATTTATGAAACCTACCCTTGGAGGTCCCAGAGTGACATCACCCCAGACGTGTGGTAAGTTATTCTTGTTAGCAAGTATTATTTGATGGAGGAAAGCATTTAAAATTTCTGAGATACAAAGAGAAAAGTAGGATAAAAAGGAAATTGGATGCATGCCTGTTATACAAAGCACTTTCCAAGCTATTTACTCTAGAAGAAAGGAGCATGTGTTTTAACACTTATTGTTTATCCAGTCAAGCTTAAATCCTATCTAGAAACTTCCTAAGAGTGGGCAAATTTTAGTGAAAAATAGTCAGCTCTTATAAAAATCATAAGCCATTCAGAAAAATGAAAGATGCTGAGTGGTTAATCCGAAAGGAAGACTTTGATTTAGTCATTTAATTCTTATTTCTGCAGATGTTCCATCGTATGAAATTAGCAAGGAAGAGGTGCCAAAAAAAATTTTTTTTAAATCAGCCCAAATAACAGCATTATTTTAATTGATAAAAAACTGATAATTTGTTCATATTATTCTAATAAATCTAAGCCTGAAGTTTTTTTTTAAAGTTTTTTAAAAAAATGTTTACTTATTTTTGAGGGAGAGAGAGCACGAGCAGGGGAGGGGCAAAGAGAGAGGGAGACAGAGAATCCGAAGCAGGCACTGTGTTGATAGCCCACTACCCGATGTGGGCCTCCAACTCACAAAGTGTGAGATCATGACCTGGGCCGAAGTCAGATGACTAACCGACCGAGCCACCCAGGTGCCCTTAAACCTGAAGTTTCTTTATAATTAATTATTTCAGAGGCACCTGGGCAGCTCAGTCAGTTCAGCGTCTGACTCTTGGTTTTGGCACAGGTCATGATCTCGCGGTTTCATGAGTTCGAGCCCGCATCAGGCTCTGCGCTGTCCACGGGGAGCCTGCTTGGGATTTTTCTCTCTGTCCTCTCTCTGTCCCTCCCGCACTCATGCTGCCTCTGTCTCTCTCAAATAAACAAACTGAAAAAAAAAATTTAATTATTTTAACTTGCTTATTTTTCTCTTAACTAGAATCTTCTTTAAAAGCTTTGCTTATGTCTCACTTTGGAAGGTACCACATGCCAATGAGTATCTGAATCACATTCTGCAAATATGATGGTTCTTGATGTTGGGTCTTAACGCATATAAATAAGAGTAGTATAGGGAAGCTCTAAAAATTCACCCGTTGTTGTCACCAGGTGAATACAACCTGATCAAGTATAAACCAAAAATTAGACTAAATCTTCTTTGACTTTACTTATGACTTAAAACTAATTGTCAACTCATCGAAGAAAATAAAGTAAAGCAATCTAGACAGAAGCAACTCATTGTAGAATTTTAGAATGTGTGGGAGAAGCCATAGTTGGAACCCAGTACCAGTCCTTCATTTTACAGAGACTAGTTTAAATCTGGTTTTGGGATTTGCATCTGGGCATATATTTGACAGGGGGGGTCTGGTCATGGATTTCACAATCATCAACTATTATTCCATGAAATTTTATCTCAATAAATAAAAATAACAGCCAAAATATTTAATAAGGTCCACGAAGCCCCCTTGTCTGGCTCCTGCTGACCGCACCAAGCCCAAACCCCATGTGGCCCTGCTCCCCCCTCACAGCAGGAGTTCTTCAGCCTACCAGGCACGCTCCTGTCCTTGCCCCAGTCATCTGTAGACTCCCAGGTCCTTAGAATCCTTCAGGATTTCAGCCCTAGCTCGTGATCACTGTCCCCAGAACTACTCTTAACATCACTCTTAGTGATTTGAACACCTATATTCACATTTTTAAAAATTTGCCGCCCCCTGAGTTCTTGTACTCTCTCTTCTGAGCATCTTGTGTGTTCTACCTTTGCTACCTCCTTTCTGGGTCATGCCTTAGATCCTGTATTACCAATAATTGCACTTATTCCATGATCTCAGTTTGAAGCATTATGCTGTCTCCCAAACACCTTTTTAAAACAAAATTTTTTTAATGTTTTTATTTATTTTTGAGACAGAGCATGAGTGGGGGAGGGGCAGAGAGAGAGGGAGACATAGAATCCAAAGCAGGCTCCAGGCTCTGAGCTGTCAGCACAGAGCCTGACACGGGGCTCGAACTCACAGACTGTGAGATCATGACCTGAGCTGAAGTCCAACGCTCAACCGACTGAGCCAGTCCCAAACACCTTTTAAATTTCAGCTCACTCCACATAGCACTTCGGCTTCTGAAAGGATCTGTAATCCACTGATGATACCAATCTGTGACCCCCTCACTTTTTTTCTGTTCCTCAGCCCTTTTCCTTATCCAGGTCAGATTCTGTGGCTTGTCACTCCATGACGTACACTCTTTCTCTGTCATACTCACTTGACTTTGATTAAAAACTCAACTCTGGTTAAATTTAGCTCTGCTCATTCCATGCCTGCCCATGGGTAGCTAAAATGTGACTAGAAATACACAGACACACATACGCACACAATACCAGATTATTTTTCTTTTGGCTTTAAGGTCAACCCTTGTGTCCTGGGTCCCATCCCAAATTATCCACTCGAGGATATTTTTCTAGCAGTTCTCTCCTTTGCTCCTTATCTTCAACTTTCCCTCTTTATTAGAGCCTTCCTGCCAGCATTCAAATGTGTTATTTCTTTCATCTTAAAAAAGTACTCTTTTGACCCTTAGATTTCCAGCTACCTCCCCGTTTCTCTCATTTCTTTGATAGTAAAACATGTTAAAAGTTTTTTTTTTTAAACTGGCTATCTTCAATATCTTGCTCCAGTTTTCTCCTGCACCCACTCTAGTCAGGCTTCCGCCCCCACACTTCAGAAAATCGCTGTTATCCAAGCCCTCCATAACCCGTCCTTCACCAAATCCAGAGTGACTTCGTGGTCCGTTTTCTGAGTTTGTGGCAGCATGTGACTCTGTTGACGCCATCTCTGCTCGTTGGCTGCTCCTTCCTAGTGTCTTTTGCTGATTCCACCCCCAGTTGCCAACCATTATACTCTGAAGTGCCTGGGGCTTAGTCCTTGGGCTTCTGTTCCTCCTCTTTATCTTTATTCCCCAGGCAGTCACATCCATTTTCACAGCCTTAGATGCCATACCGATGACCTCTACAGTGCCGACCTTTTCTTGAGCTCCAGACTTACATTCGCTTTCCTGGTCAACATCTCCACTTGGAAGTATAAATACCTTAAACCTGTTATGTCTAAAACTGAGGTCCTAATTTTAAAATTTTGCTCTAAACTAGCTCCAAGCAGTCTTCACAAACTCAATTAATGACAGCTTCACCCTTTTAGGTGGTTGTGAGGCCAAAAATCTTGGGAGTCTTCAACTCTCCTTTTATATTTCACGGCCAGTCCGTCAGCAAGTATCGTTTTTCTCTTTGAAGCATATCTAGAATCTGACCATGTCTCATTCTTTTAGTCTCTATTGTGTCTCCCCTGGATTATAAGCTTCTTTGATCTGTTTACATCCATCCTTGCCCCTTTCATCTTTCTGCCACAAAATCTTTGAAATAATAAAGCCAGGTTATGTCACTACTACGCTCAAATTCCTCCAATGGCTTCCGGTCTCAGAGAACGAGCCAGATCTTGTAGAGGCTTATAAGGTCCTATAAAAACTGGCTCCTTGCTGTCTCTGATCTTATCTGCCATCATGCTTTCCCTCACTTTCTCTCCTGCCCTTCCTGTTGCCATGTCAGCAGGCCAAGCATACTCCTGCTTGCTGTTCTCTCTTCCTCTGGATACTCACATGCTCTTCCTCACATTCTTCGGGTCTCCTCAATGCCACCTCCTCAAAGGTGGACTATTAGATTTAAAATAACAACCACATCCCTCCTTTCCAACCTTGCATGCTCTGTCCTCACCTGGCTTCAGTTTTCCCCATAGAGCTTAATCATCACGCATAATTTTTTCCACTACCGCATAAGCTCCATAAGGACAGGGACTGTGTTCAATGCTGCGTCTCCAGCTCTAAAACAGTGATTAGCATTTTAAGATTTCAATAAACGTTGAAAAACTAAGAATGAGTGAGTTCTGTTTTGTGTAGAGCTTACTCTTACCTTTTTTCTCATTCATCGTCTAAGTCTCAGATGAAATGTCATTTTTTTTAGGCTTCTGCTCATGGTCTAATCTTTTTTTAATTTAAAACATTTTTTTAAAATATTTATTTTGAGAGAGAAAGAGTGCGAGTGAGGGAGGGCACAGAGAGAGAGAGGGAGAGAATTCCAAGCAGACTCTGCACTGTTAGCATGGAGCCCAATGCAAGGCTCAAACCCACAAAACCACTGTGAGATCATGGCCTGAGCCTATGAGAAGTAAATGAAATGATTTGTTTTGAGAAATACCAAATAAAAGCTGTGCTATAGAGTTACCAATAGGTTTACAACCTATTGGAAATATGTACCCCCCCAATGGAGTCCCAAACTTCACTTCACTTCCTGATTCTTCTTCCCCTCGCCATTTCGTGGGCTTAGTTTTTGCGGGTTTTGTAATGGGCATGTGCCAAAGAACTGAAGTCTCTGTGTCACCTCAAGGAATGTATGTTTGTACAAAAAGACTAGTTTTTGCCTTACGTGGGCATAGCTGACTTCCGGGTAAGGCTGTAACCTCTGTAGTACTCAGCCAAATGAGGAATTGGGAGGGACTTCACGCTAGGAGATAAATTGCCTGCTGTAACTGCTCCGAGTGTGCCTGTCCATCAGACACCCGCTCTTGCAAGAATGTTGATTAAAAGCCTCGCTTCACTGTGCTCAGAGTCTCTGTGCCCGTCCTCTGATTGGGTCAGTGGGCTTATTTCTTACAGAGCTGAAGTCAAGAGTTGGAGGCATTACTGACAGAGCCATACAGGCACCCCGCTGATGGTCTAATCTAAGAGGTCCCTTTTTTATAACCTTTCAATTTACTGTTCTTTCATTGTGCTTATCAAAACTCACACTTTGACATTATTTGTGTGATTATTGAATAGAGTCTTCGTCACTCTAGTCTAAGTTCCATAAGAATAAGAATTAAGTGTTTTGTTTTCTGTTGTATCCCTAACACCAGCGTCAGTACTTGGCCCAGCATTGACACATACAGACTTTTTGATGAGGGAGTATGAAGATTTGAATCAGGTGGAAAGCCATTTACTCCTGCATCTTACCTTCTTTGCTCATAATTCCCTCCTATTTCCAACTCCATGGGAACAGTCTGATGAAGAGTAATATTAGAAAAGTCTCTGGGGTGCCTGGGTGGCTCAGTCGATTAAGCGTCCGACTTCAGCTCAGGTCACGATCTCGCGGTCCGTGAGTTTGAGCCCTGCGTCTGGCTCTGGGCTGATGGCTCAGAGCCTGGAGTCTGCTTCCGATTCTGTGTCTCCCTCTCTCTCTGCCCCCTCCCCCATTCATGCTCTGTCTCAAAAATAAATAAACGTTAAAAAAAGAGAAGTCTCTTCTTTTTGGTATAGGGGAAGTGGGGGAGGGAGGTGCTATGATATTATGATTTATGATAACAAGTATATATTTGGTCTTGTCTCCATTTCTGGCACAGAGCTCCTTAAACTCTTGGAATCTCCTGAGTGATGAGAACTATACAGATGTCTTTTGTTATGTTAATGAGGTGACTTTTCCACTTCACCAAGGGTGAGGCTGGTTGCCTGGAGACTTTCAGTCCCTCCCTCCAGGAGGAGAGAGGCTGAAGGTTGAATCAGTCACCAATGACTAGTGATTTAATCAATCATAACCATGTAATGAAGCCTCCATATAACCCAAAAGCATGGGGTTTGGAGAGCTTCAGCGTTGTTGGGAGAGGGGTGTGCCTGGAAAGTTCATGGAAGCTCCATGCCCTTTCCCCATATCTTGCCCTATGCGTCTCTTCCCTTCGGCTGTTCCTGAGTTTTATCCTGTTATAATAGACTGGTATGCCAGTAAGTAAAATGTTTGTGTGAGTTTTGTGAGCTGCTGTAGAAAATTAATTGAACCCAGGGAAAAGGTTGTTGGAACCTCCCATCTGTAGCTGGTGGGTTAGAAGACCAGGTGATACCTTGGACTTGTGATTGGTGTCTGAAGTTGAGTGGTGCAGGCAAGCAGTCTTGTAGGACTGAATCCTTGACCTGTGGAATCTGACACCATCTCCACGTAGATAGTGTCAGAATTAAGTTGAATTGTAGGACACCCAGCTGGTGTTGGAGAATTGCTTGTTGGGGGTGAGGAACCCCCTCTCCAGCCCCCCAAAGACACACTGGAATTGGGAACCCTCTTTGGGTGCTTTTTACTCTACCATGGAGCTATTTTTTCCTTCTATTAATGAAGACATGGGTAAATATTTACTGCATGAAAGTATCTCTGTAAAATAATCCCAAACCTAACACATGAGGAATACCACTATGCCCTTTTCCTCCTTTTAACCAGGTACACATCCAAACCTAAACAAAAGTTGGTCTACGCCATATATCTTAAATGGCCCACATCAAGACATCTGTTTCTTGGCCAACCCATCGCTACCCCGGGGGCAACAGAGGTAAGGAGATTTTATCTTTATTGTGTCTTTAAATTGCTAAGTAGCATATCCTAGGGAAAAACAGAATGAAACTTTTAACTTCAAGGAGAGCCTTACGGATGTTCCATTTATACCTCATGAGATATGGGTTTTCTCCCACCACATCCGAAAGCAGAGCATTCCTATGAAATCTTTCATAAGCTGAAATGGTGTAAAGCAAAGAAGCAATTACCATTAATTTATGTGGAAATTTGTTTGAACAGTCCTAGACCCCCACAATAACCTCTCTTAGAAGAGCTCTTCTGATCCCTTAGAACACATCTTGCTAACGGATGCACAAATTGAATGGAGACAAAGCACAGATGCTCACAGACTCAGTTCAAAGCTATGGCGGCTTGATGCTGAAATGCTGAGTATAGGAAGGAACTTGGAGTTACCACTCGCTGCTGTTGGGGTGTGCACTGCCTCTCAAACGGCTCTCTGCAAAACAAACGCTAAATGCTATTTTTACTTTTCACTTTTTTTTTGTAAAAGTGAAAGTCCTCTTTAGATTTCTTTCAGTTACAAAAATAGGTACTACTCTAGGCCTTTTATAAAAGTGAAATGGCGTAACACTGACTGTAGGGGATACCTGTAATTTTAAAATGAACTTCATCAGTGGCAATGTTTGGCCAAACCTTTGAAAATTTTCATTTCCCAGAAAACTAAACTTAAAATACATCTCCATGCGTATCAATGTAAAATAGATATTCTTTTTTACGGTTATTTTATGTTGTTCAAGTTCTGGAAGCATCCAAAATGATTCCGGAATTTATAAATAAATAAATGAGTAAAGCAAACTCAGGTTCTTTCCCAGACATCCCATCCCAGAATACATCAGAATAAAAGTAAGATGTTGTAGTCGTACTATTTTAAGGTCATTAAAAAAATCTGGAGGAAGTTAATCTAACAGTTGTAGGCGACAGATCTGGTATTGAGTTCATTTTGATGCATTTTATAGCTTGTTTTTAAGAAACAATTTCCTTGGATGTAGATTGTCCATATGCTTCTCCTTGTATCATCTTTCCACATTTCATTTCTAACACTGTGGTTGATCTGGCAGAAAGGAAGATGGAGTTCACATTTGATGTTTAATTACAGCTTAGTGGCGTGGGTATGACATCATCTTTTTATTTTATCTATATTTTGTCTGGCCCCATTAATACTGTAATCTTAAAAGTTCATGGGTTTTGTTTTTGTGTTGTTCCACATGATAGGCAAAGTTTTCTCGTTCAAAATAGCCATAGATATGTAGAAAACATATTTAAACCCATTTAGTATAAGAGTAAGGATATAAAACAATTACAGTAGTATTTGATCAGACTTATGTATTGTTGATCAGTTACTGGAAAACCTGGGGAGGAAGGGTAGCTTCCTAGATAAGGGCAAGAACTATGCAAGTCTTACATTGGGCAGATTGGTCCAGAGTCATTTTCCCTGGTCCTCTCTTCAGTGTTTTCCCTACTCTAACACTATTCAGCCTTTACAGTTCTTCTCTTCCAACTCTTGGACACTTTTACTTGACAGGAATATAAGAATAAGACGCACGTATGCACTCATTTGGACCAAAGGTTAAAATAACTTGTGAACCACTAAATAAAAGCAAAAGCTGAGTTTCTTGTCTACAGTGTTTTAAAGAAATACCAGCCACCCTTTCGCAATAAAGTGGGTGAGTCAAAGAGATACGTGTGAAGACATTTCTGTGTATGTTTCTAATTTCAGATTAAACTACTGGGACACGGACAGCCACTTAACTGGACGTCTTTGAAGCCAAATGGCATACTGGTAGAACTGCCACGTCTAACCTTTGATCAGATGCCCTGTAAATGGGGCTGGGCTCTAGCACTAACTAATGTGATCTAATTTGCAGCAGAGTAGTTCATGCTGCAGGTACATCGAAGACTCGAAAATATCAGGTTTCTATAATTGTAGCATATAGAGAAAGCAAATGTAAAATTGGTCAAGGAAAGTCAAATATTTAGGCAATTCAGGTCCTTTCCCCTCTTACTGCTTATGTTTGTTCCTAAATTACCCATGTAATTGTTTTACCTCTCCAGTGTACTTTGCCATTGAAGTCTCTTCACATTGAATTTATTTCCATGTGTGATTAAGAGGTGGAAATTTTTGTTTTATGGTAGCCAGGAACTGGTGGTGGTAAGGACTGAATTAAGTCTCCTGAATTGTGTCTCAAATTCCTATGTTGAAGCCCTAGCCCTCAATGTGACTGTGTTTGAAGACAGAGCCTTTGAAGAGGTAACTAAGGTTAAATAAAGTCATAAGAGTAAGAGCCTAATCTATACGACTGGTGTCTTTATAAGAAGAGAAAGAGATGCCACTGATGCAAGCACACAGAGGAAAGGCCATGTGAGGACACAGGGAGAAGGCACCATCGGCCAGCCAAGGAGAGAGGCCTTGAGACAAACCCAACCTGCAGACACACTGGGCTCTCAGCTTTCAGGATTGTAAGAAAATAAATTACTGTGCTTTAAGCCACCCAGTCTGTGGTATTTTGTTATGGTGGCCCTAGCAGACTAATACAGGTGGCAGAGATATAATAAATTTGGCCTAATACATATTTCCAGTGCTCATAGTAATTGTCTTTTCATAAAAAAGTTTTTTTTCGGGGCGCCTGGGTGGCTCAGTCGGTTAAGCGGCCAACTTCGGCTCAGGTCATGATCTCGCGGTCCGTGAGTTCGAGCCCCGCGTCGGGCTCTGTGCGGACAGCTCAGAGCCTGGAGCCTGTTTCAGATACTGTGTCTCCCTCTCTCTCTGACCCTCCCCTGTTCACGCTCTGTCTCTCCCTGTCTCAAAAATAAATAAAACGTTAAAATAAAAAAATAAAAAAAAATAAAAAAAATTTTTTTTCCCTCTTGGTAATAAAACTGATATAGGTTTACTGTAGGTATTTTAAAACATACTAGGGGTGCCTGGGTGGCTCAGACGGTTAAGCTGCCAACCTCAGCTCAGGTCATAATCTTGCAGTTCAAGGCCCGTGTTGGGCTCTGTGCTGACAGTTCAGAGCCTGGAGCCTGTTTTGGATTCTGTGTCTCCCTCTCTCTTTCTGCCCCTCCCCACTCTGTCTCTGTCTCAAAAATAAATCAACATTAAAAAAAATTAAAGTCATTGTTTAGATCACCATTATTACGATTTTAGTACATATTCTTTCAGGTTTTTTTGAGGGGGTGTGGGATTGGACCTATGGGCCAATTTTTGTAGGTGAGCTCATATGAGCTCCAATTTAAATTAATATATATGTTTTGGGCGCTTGAGTGGCTCAGTCGGTTGAGCGGCCGACTTCAGCTCAGGTCATGATCTCACAGCTCGAGTTTGAGCCCCGCGTTGGGCTCTGTGCTGACAGCTTGGAGCCTGGATCCTGCTTCAGATCTGTTTCCCTCTCTCTCTGCCCCTAACCCACTTGCATTGTTTCTGTCTCTCTCAAAGGTAAATAAACATTAAAAAAATTAAAAAAAAAATTTTTTAAAAATGTTTATTTTTGAGAGAGATAGAGACAGAGCATGAGTCGGGGAGGGGTGGAGAGGAGACACAGAATCTGAAGCAGGCTCAGGGCTCTTGAGCTGTCAGCACAGAGCCCGATGGCGGGGCTCAAACCCATGGACTGTGGGATCATGACCTGAGCTGAAGCCAGATGCTTAACCAACTGAGCCACCCAGGCGCCCCCCCCCACAATTTTTTTTAAATTAATGAATATGTTTCCTACATTTGTCTTCAAGCAAATTGAAGTTGAAAACCTAGTTGATAATTAGGAATTCTACTCAAATCTTCCCTAAGAATGAAGCAAAATAATGAAGCAGCAATACAGATTTTAATGTAAATTTAAAGAAACACTGATTAGAGAAGTCGCTCTCCTCAACAAAAGAAGTTTAATATGGCCAGATCTTTATTTGTAGTACTGTAGGTTTCATTTGGTCACATTAATCAAATGCAGACATCTGTTTCCAAAAAATGCTTCAGGTAGAGAATGAAAAAGAATACTATTCATATTCCCTAAAATCATGCTCAAGTTGAAAACCTTTTAAAAAATTACTCATTGTTGAAGTTCCTAAAACTACCAAATTTTCAAAACCATGCTATTTACATAAATAAGTATGTTAATAGTTCTAAATCCCAATTAATATTTTATTCAAGATCCAACTTGGACAGATTTATATGATCCCAACACTAGACTAAGAAAAACCAAAACAGGAGTAAAACCCAACCAAAGCCAAGGAAACAGTGTTACAAGAATCTTATCATAAAAGTAGGGTCATTTGTTTGTTTGAAGAAAGTCATTCTGAGACTGAAGCCTGTCAACCACTTAAATTCCTATCCTGTCCATCTTTACCTTTACAAATTGATACGAAAGGGGAAAAACAAGTATTTAAGCAAATTATAGGGTTTGGTGACTTAGTAGCTATGAAGGAGCTACATGACAAAATACAGTTCAGCATTCTGAGGTGCTGATAAAATGCTTTTAACCCAACTCTAAGAAAAAATATGACCCCAAATTTAAATTTATTTAAGGCATATCTTGCTTATGTGTAAAATGTACTACAATGGGGTTTCATAACAAGGATTTAAAAATATTCCAGCAAATTCTTGGAATTATCTGTAGTATGAGGGCAAGAATTATAGTAAGGATAATTAAAAATCAGATCTCTCATTAACTATTTTAAGCCAATAGTTTTTATCCTCCAATCAAATACTCCTTTTCCCAGCATTATTAAATAGGTATAAAATGCCCTGAATTGAATTTCGGTAACCTCTGATTTTCCTTTAATGACTGGAGAAATACTGAAGGCAAACCAAACTAGGTTACTAGACTGAATAGTCTAGATATTGATATTAAAACAAAATTTTTTAATGTTTATTTTTGAGAGACAGAGAGAGAGTGTTTGTGAGCAGGGGAGGGGCAGAGAGAGGGGAATTCAAAGCAGGCTCCAGGTTCCACACTGTCAGCACCGAACCTGATGTGGGGCTCGAACTCATGAACGGTGAGATCATGACCTGAGCTGAAGTCAGATGCTTCACCAACTGAGCTGCCCAGGTGCCTCTAGATGTTGATATTTTAAATATGGATATCACTTTAGAAAGATTCTATCTCATTTTCTCATAGGTGTCATATACAAGCAACACAATTACTGTAAAAGTTCAGGCTATTCAAATAAATATGAATCAGGACAACAGAAGACAAGACCGATGTTTTATCTTCTGTTCAATTTTGCAAGTGAACGATCTGGTTAGATAAAATCTTCCAAGCAAATAAGTGCTCATGTAAAATTTTTATATATACACAGTAACAGACACATTTATACAAGTTTGAAGGAGAAAAAATAGAAGCAGTTTTAAGTAATCTCCATGTAACCAATTCACGGGATAAACTGATGGTCTTCATCTCCTCAGAAAAGGAGGTGCCTAGGGCAGGCTGCAGGCTTTCAGTTAGTAGGTGTCTATCTGGTGCACCCTTCGCTTTGAATTCCACTTGCTGCAATCTGCGTTTACCAAGTCGCGTAGAGTTTGTTACTATAGGGGCTGAAGAGTATTCTTCGACAATTCACGTCTGCCTAGAAGCTCAGAAGGTGATCTTACTTGGAAATGGCGTCTTTGCAGATGTAACGAAAGTTAAGTATTGAGACAAGATCATACTGTACGTGGGTGGGTCCTAAGTGAGTATTCTTATGAGACAAAGAGCACAGACACACAGAGAAGGCCATGTGAAGACAGAGGCAGAGACGAAGTTTGCTGCTACAAGCTAAGGGACACCTGGGCCACCAGAGGCTGGGAGAGTCAAGAAAGCATTGAACAGTCTTCCCTATAGCCTTCAGAGGGAGCATGGCCCTGCTGATACCTTGATTTTGGACGTCCAAAATCAAGAATGGTGAGAAGAGAAATTTCTGTTAAGTCACCCAATTAGCAGTAATTTGTTACATTGGCTCTAAGAAATTAATAGTTACCAAACTGATTATGCCAGTTGAACTTGTTATCATGAGTATATAAACTGATGACGTGAGTGCGAAGAGTTGTAGTTTCTGTGAAAACTAAGCTGAACTTTGAAAAGACTCGATAAAAGTGTTGTTTTTTTAGGGGCACCCGGCTGGCTCAGTTGGTGGAGCATGAGACTTCTGATCTCAGGGTTGTGAGTGTGAGCCCCATGTTGGGGGTAGAGACTACTTAAAAATAAAATCTTAAAAAAAAAAAAGTGTGTTGCTGTTTTAAAATTTAAAGATATTGGCTAATTGTGGGCAAAACAGTTCTAAAAGATTGGAGGAAAATATAGCAAAAACCTACAAGCATTCTGTATCGGTGGCTCACAATTATATAATGGAATGTAGTGCACGTGATCTGCACAAGAAGGAGTTAGGAGTGCCTCAAAGCAGACGCATACGAAAAAGGTAGAAAAGACCTGGTCCCTAGATTAAATAAGTGGCAACTAAAGAATATTTATATTTTAAGTTAAAATATCTAAGAATAAGTTTTTTTGTGTGTGATAGATACCCTGCTTTATTTAAGTGACCTTTGGATTAACCAAACTATTGGTCCTATTGTACTAGCTGAAGACACATTTGTAATATCTAAGGCCAGTTAGCTTCAAATGCATGTGGGTTTTACCTGATCATCTCTTCAACTGCCACGGCACCACAGACGCAGTTGACTCCAGGTGAAAATTGTCAGCTGATCAGAATACGATCCTTTTTTTTTTTTTTTTTTTTTTTTTTTTACAAGGCCACACCTGTTCAGTCTCAAATATTCTTTGGATGAAATCCTGGGTTAATACTGCTGCAAGAGATGCAGGCCCTATTACATACACATTCACTAATTTTCCAAAATGCAGTTTTTCCTCCACGCTATTAGAAAATAACATCACTATTTTCTGTCAAATTTGGAAGAGAAATATTTGCTATCTGCAACACTTTTACATCTGTTTCTTTCTTTTTTTAAACATTGTAGACATTACATTTTTTTAAACATTGTTCCTCTGTTGGAGGAACATAAAGCGATGTCACTGACAATATTCTTATGTTACCGAAAATATATCTAATACACTAATGATATGCAACAATTCATTTATTTCTGCCTAATTACCCTTAATTATAAATACAGAATATAGATTTACTAGAGACGATGAATTGTTTCTCTTCAGAAAGGAA